CGGACCATGAGGCCTTCAACAAACTTGCACAACGGCACTACCTGGCTGCAATGAAAAAGGCGTGACCCAAGGTCTCGACCTCCCCACTACAACGTCGGCAGTTTGGAGAATTCTCCAAGCCAGCTGAGCAGAGTCTCTTGGCGACCCAGAGGGCCCCACGAATCACAAGCCAGGTTAGTGATGCCTCATCGTTATTGAGGCATTTCAACCCGGGCGCCCTTGTTGCCATATTGAGCGAGCCTTCTGCTTCGTCAGACCGAGATCGTCAATCACATCATCACGCACGCCCCCCCTGACTAAAACTTGATATAATGCCCTACGAGACAACGCCTGGACGTTGGAGAGGCCATCCGACGCCCGTAAGAGGCGCTTCAGAGCATGAGACAGTGAACCAATTTTCTTAGCAGCTGACCTAGCAATGGATTCGACGGAGTCTTTCCGCTTCCTGCCGGCTGAGAACGTTAGCCCATTATATATTTTCTCGTCGTTCTATAAACGAAAATTCCAACTTTTTACATTTTAACAATAATCAAAATTTTAAATCAACCTAAAAGGTATTGCATATGAATCTATTGTTTCATCTATCGCAAGGAAAGTTGCTTCTCTGTGTCACGCCAGAAGGTTTTTCTCGCCTGAGTCCATCTTACAAATCTAAAAATCAACCATTCGTCCTTGCATAGAATGCTGCTGCCATATATGGTCTGGTGCTCCTGCTGTTCATCTCGATGTCCTCGATAAAATCCAAAGGCGAATATGCAATGTGCTTGGACCTTATCTGGCATCTCGTCTACAGTCACATTCTCACAGACGTGCTGTCACTTCCCTCTGTCTTTTCTACAAATACTTCCACGGTAACTACTCTGACGAGCTACTTTCACTGGTTCCCAGACTGCATGAATTTAAGCGTGCTACGAGGTTGGCATCTCAGTCCCGACCTTTCACTGTCGAAACGGCTAAATGTAGCCATCTCTTTTACTCCAACAGCTTCTTATCTCGCATCTCCCGTCAGAGGAACTCCCTTCCTATCACTTGCTTCCCTGATAGCTATAATCTTCAAATATTCAAGTGTAATGTCAATCGACATCTTCTATTGTCTTGATTTTGATCCAGGTCCTTCTCTTTATCCTTTTACAAAACACTCCTCTTTACCCTTACTCTCACTCTCTGTAACCCTTTACGTGCTAATGGCACTCCTACCTTGCTTGGGGTGATTTGCTTATATATATATATATATATATATATATATATATATATATATAATTTGTAAGATATGTTTATATTATATTAATTTCACTGTATAAATAAATATTTTATCTTTGAATTATGTGTTTTCGTAAAATTCCATCAATGAGATTGTATCATAATTATAGAATCGAGCACTCAGTGTTTAAGCGAATCTCTTTAGCAAAATATTTTAAATCTTTATATAGAAAAGAATACTGAACTGTTACGCGACGTTTGTCCTTCTTTGTGACAGCGAATGTTGGACGATTTCCTCAAAGATGAAGAAGAGACACGAAGCGACATGAGCCGAGCATGTGAGGTCTTAGAGAGGGTTGCAAACAAGGAGGAGGCTTATATTTAACATCAGGAAGAGGCAGCTGAGGTTTCTGAGGCACATAATGAGGAAAGAGGACCTGGAGAATCTGATACTCACAGGTCGAATAGAGGGAAAGAGAGACAAGGGAAAACAACGTGTGACATACCTGGCGGACTTAAGCAAGTGGATGACAGAACATGGTCTGGAGGAGGAAACAGAGGGAAGGAACTTGTTGAGAGCTGCAAGGGATAGAGAGAGTTGGGGAGCTATGATCGTCTACGTCCTGAAAGGACATGGCACATAAAAAGAAAGATATAGCTAAAATAAATGGCTATGTTCATCAACACTGAACAGGGAGAACGAAGAAAAAGCAGCTAACCCGGATGGAGTTGTAATAAAGATTCTCGAGGCCAGCGATTTCGACACCGAGAAAATTATAGAAATAAATAATGAAGTAAACAACAGTGGTGATAATATTTATTTGTAATAAAATACAAAATGTAGCACAAGGCCAAAAATGGGACTAGCGAAAAGGACAGTCTTGTTCTGTCTTAACGTTAAACTTAGCTAGCCACAGACACTGACCCAAACATACAACAATATTCCTTACAGCAAAACAATGCATTCTTACTTACCTTTCTCACTACATCCACCATAATACCACATTGTCTCCATGAAAATACTAATTGGTCCCTTTATATGCAATTCATTGTCTGTGCGAGGAGAAGAATAAAATAACAATTTAAAAATCTAAGCCCCAATGAATATTTACAAAATGTACAAAAACTATTTACAAAATAATGTTAGTAATAACCCCCCTCTCTCACACACACACACACACACACACACACACACACACACACACACACACACACACACACACACACACACACAACAATCCCTAAATGTGGCAGAAACAGCAGTTAACTGGATGAAATCAATGCGGGACTTTGCTAACATGAAAACATTCAATCAACCAAAGGAATGACTCAAAACATACACACATTCAAACACAACAAATACGAAATTAACGCCCGAAACGAAAGGCACCCCGCATCCACCAGAGGACTGACATCACTGACCATCCAACGAGAGAGGGGATGGGGGAATTAAACTAAAGAAAAATGGAGACAGAAATAAAAGGAGCCTATGAGCATATATCCCCTAGCTGTTAACTGGAATGATGTGCTGGAAGACCTTACCAAATCCATTTTTATAGCGCTGCCAAAGAAGCCACGTGCAAATGAATGCAAGCATCATCAAACAATCAACCTTATCATCCGATTTCCAACGAATAGAGCGTGGAATAGAATCAAACCGGAAATAGAGCAAGGACAATGCAGTTTCATTAAAGACACTGGGACAAGTAATGTAATATTTATGCTCAGAATTGCATAAGAAAGAACAATAAAAGAAGAGGAATCAAGAAGACAGTCAAAAAGTTTCATATATAGGGAACTGAGCTTCAACAAACACAATCTTTAGGTGGTCAGAAAGGATAGTAGACTTTATTATCATTATTATTATCATTTATTATTTTATCGACGAGGATCAAACTCGCACTATGGATGAACAGGATTTTAATGCATATATTATGTTTTCTAGCGATGGATGTCGCCAATAATCGCATTAATACTTCTGATTGATTCTATACATGTGATTATTTCTTTTGTATGTAAATCATATGCTGCCTAATGTTTTTATGTTTATTAAAAACTATCGATCCGCAGTACAAAAAATTCCTATAAAAAAAAAACTACTACTAAGACATTACACTATATTATTGAACTATATACTTAAAATTTTGAAAAACTTAGCGTTGCGTCTTTGCACGTTCCGACATCTTACACAACCGTCAATAATAGCAGATATTCAAAAAACATCTTTCGGTCGACATACAGGTATATATGTTTAGATTTTATAAGGAAAAAACACATGCCTGATGATGAATAGAAGACTATTCGTAAGTACTAGCATTTTAACATCAAATAAACTGAAAACTACAGACAACAAGTTTATCGACGAGGATCAAACTCGCACTATGGATGAACAGGATTTTAATGCATATATTATGTTTTCTAGCGATGGATGTCGCCAATAATCGCATTAATACTTCTGATTGATTCTATGTGATTATTTCTTTTATATATATATATATATATATATATATATATATATATATATATATATATATACCCAAGTATATGATTGGTGTATACAGAATGAATTCCAATAACCAACAATTACTATTCTTGATTTTTACTTTTAATATCAAATTTTATCATATAATTTAATAATTATTGGTTAGAATAAATTCTTTTTTTAATATTACCCCTATTTTAAAGATCTGAATAGATATTATAACATGACTTCGTTATCAAGCTTTTTGAATTTTCCTATACTTGTATTTTGATTGGTCATTCTAGCTTTTCTAACAACGTTTTCACCTTGCGAAGGATCGTTAATTAATTTGAAACTTTTAAAACCATTTATTTTACATTCAACATCACCACTTGATAAGACACCGGAGGTGTTGAAACAAAATGGCTATTTTTGTAGTGATTTTATAACATATTTATGTTATAACTTTTAAAATAAATATATATATATATATATATATATATATATATATATATATATATATATATATATATATTGCTGTAAAGACATTTAACTGAATATTACTTGGCATAATTAAAAATATATATAAAGTAAAAAAAAATGTAAGAGGAAAACAACCAGTTTCTCTGCCGCTTTTTCAAAAGTTTTTTAATCGAGAGTAAAAAGGGTAAAATACAATAAATTTAAATTTGCAAATGATTGATGAGAGGACAAAAACAAGGTGGGGAGTAGTAGAGACTAATTATAGCAAGCCCAGTCACACTCTTTATTTTATCTAAAACTACTGGAGTCAATGTATATCAAGTCTCGCAAATCTTCTCTCCGTAAACAGCGTGATTGTTTGCTGGGTCTTGCTATAATTAGTCTCTAGTACTCCACCCCCGTTTTTTCCTCTCATCAATCATTCGCAAATTTAAATTTATTGTATTTTACACTTTGTACGCCCGATTAAAAAGTTACCGAAAATCTGCTCTGAACCGTAAAATAAAAATGCACTAAGACTCTGGCATTATTTAATTAGAAAATAATGTATTACTTTTATAAATAAATATATTACACTAAAGAAAAAAAATCGATCAATAAATTAAATAAAGAATTTTCACTTTTTTCTTTAATTTTTAATTAGAATAATTTATGAAGTTTTAAATCTTTTAAATTTATGAATTAATTTTGTTCCGGTTAGATGATATTGTCATTAAGTAAAACTATTTACTAATCATAAATGGAAAAACCTTACTACAATAAGCGAACCTCAGTATTTTAAAAAGCATTTTTAATTTTCTTGTGTATGTATACACGTGCCGATTTTCGTAAATATGGACGTCCATACACGACATTATCAGAACATAAGAAAGAAAGAAAGAAAGAAAGAAAGAAAGAAAGAAAGAAAGAAAGAAAGAAAGAAAATACGAAAATAAACGAAGGAAAAGGAATGAATAAAGGATGGAAAGAAAGGAAATACGAGAAAAAAGAAAGAAAATATGAAAATAAAGAAAACAGAAAGAAAAATACGAACGGAAAGAAACGTCGAAAATGAAGGAAAAAGAAAAGAAAAGAGAACAAGAATATACGAACAGAAACAAAGAAAATGCAAAATGAAAGAAAGAAAAAGAAAGAAAGAAGAGAAGAAGAAGGAAGAGAGTGAGGGAGAGAGAGAGAGAGAAAGGATGAAAAGATGAGAAAGAATGTATATGAAAGTGAAGAGAAAACAAAAAGAAGAAAAGAGAGAAGCCTGAGAAGAAAAGTAGAAAGTAAAATACGTTTTAAAAGGTAACTATAGTAAATTCAAAGTACTTAAAATTTAATAAAACATTCGATTACTTAAAACATTTCCCCAGTAGCCCCTACATAGAGTACACATGAGCTGAATATCACTGAAGGCATGAAACAGACTCCCCAACATGCACTGTCTACAGGGTTTATATATATATATATATATATATATATATATATATATATATTAAGACATTTTATGTTTATACGTTCTTTTATAGGTAACCATATAATGTCTTAAAATAAATGTCGGACTTTGTTCATTTCATAATGTGTGACGTCATTTGTTTACATTTGGATACGCATCGATCAGATATGAATGTACGTGAGAAAATCATGAAGTATTGTAGTTTAAAAACAGTAAAATCGACCTTGCTAACCGAAAAGCTCCTCCGTGGCTGAATCGGGTTAGGTACGTCAGTCTATATGACGGTTCCGTTTAGGATACAGGTTCGATTCTAGTCGGACGACGCATATTTTCTATGAAAATTTCTTGGACATTCAGGCCCGTAAATGTCATTAATACTGTTTATTCGAAACAAAGCACTTGCTTTAAAAAAATTATCTATAAAAAGAACGTGTAAACAAAATGTCTTAAAATAATTTTCGGACTTCCATTTATATTTTTTTATATATATATATATATATATATATATATATATATATATATATATATATATATATATATATATATATATATATATATATATATATATATATATATATATATATATCAAATATTCACTTACGTGTTAATACCATTAGGAAAGGTATGAATCCTTTTCTTCTCCCTCACAGTTATGGCTAAATAATGTGACAGACTGGGTTCTATAGCCTTAGATGGAAACTGGTCAAGGAGAATGACAACTCTAAATTCAAACCCTGCGAAGTTACTTTTGGGGACCTTGTAGATCATCATTTCAACTTAGAGATAAATACATTTTTATTGTTCAAGACTCCAATAGTGCTACAAAAACCTGGAAGAGTTCCAGTAAGATATCATTAATCATTTCTCGGATACAATGGTTCAAAGCTTAATTTAACAATTGGACAATTTCCCTGTTACACGATTTAGACAATTTTGCTGTTACACCCGGCATATATATATATATATATATATATATATATATATATATATGTGTGTGTGTGTGTGTGTGTGTGTGTGTGTGTGTGTGTGTGTGTGTGTATGTATGTGTGTGTAAAAGTGGACACAGAGTTCAACACCACGCGGCAACAGTCCGTTTCAAACCTCAACGAAGTCTTCAAGTCTGATGATTGTGTTGAAGCATGAAACAGCGCTTGGTGTTGACCTCAGTGCCCACTTTTTAGATTTACATCCGTTCTATCACTCTGACTTCTGTTCTCCCTAAATTATATAAGTGCTTTGCTCTCCCACTTGTTGGAAATCCTCATCTGCTGTTCTAGATTTTAAGAACTCGGGTGAACCGACCTACCCTTCCAACTTTCGGCCTACTGGCCCCCTGATTCTTTTTAGTAAACTACTAGAGATCCTAAACAATGCTGAATTGTTTAGACATCTCAAATCGCAGGGCCTTCTTTCAGACAGGCAATATCACTTTCGTTTTTCTATGTCAGCTGCTGATGTATTGATGATCATTACTGCTATGGTGACCTACCTACATGGGAATGATCTCTTCCTCCTTCATAAATACTAACTTGCGAGACTTCCGATGAGATAGTGTAACCTGACAGCGTAATGGCTAGCAAGCTTAGCTCGCTAGGTTAATTACAACTGAAAAGTGAGTTCGATCCTCACTAGGTGCTTCATACTTTCGGCCTTGCGCCATATCTAAGCTACGCTTCGAAAATCACAATTTTGGGGAACGCTGATATAAACCGTTCATGACTGTTAAACTCTCTGGTTTGGCAGAGAGGAACCAGGACGAAGCTTTGCCGAAGGGCAAGGTTTCGTCCGGGGAGGTAGACAGGCCCTGAACCCGTCTAGGCGGGTTCAAAGGGAATATTTTTGGCCGAGCCTACGAGCTCGGAGAACCCACACTAAACCGGCCTTGTGCCACATACGACCCACGTGGGGGGCGGGCGTTAACTATAACAGTGTAACCTGACAGTTTGGACGGACACTTCTATCTGCTGACTAATAACACTATTTCTTTGTATATATCTGTTATTTCAATACACTTGTTCAACTTACCTTACTCTTTCCGTGTCTTTCTTTATGGCCCCTAACAGGCCACAACAATTACGGAAATTGTCAGTCAAGATTTAGATAAAAATAGTGAAGCTCGGGCTGTTGCTTTGGATATCTCGAAAACGTTTGACAGGGTTTTAAATACAGGTTTCATCACAAGTTGAAAAGTTACGGTGTTTCCGGACCATTTTTTTTTCTTACCTGGTCCAGCCTTTCTTCTCAAATTGTGAAATGAAAGTTATCCTGAATAGCCACGCTTCTAGATCCTTTTCAACTAATGCTGGTGTCTCCCAGAGCTCTATCATTGGTCCTACTTTGCTTTTAATTTTTATTAACGACCTTCTTGATGGCATCAGCTCCCATCTATGCTGATGACACAACCAGTTACACCTTTCAATACTAAGTCTGACCAGTTTGATAAGGTCCAAATGGCAGCTGAAGTCATAAACACTCTACAATCTGTTGCTAAGAGGGGCAAAGAATGGCTAGTTAATTTTTAATGTCTCCAAAACAAAACTACTCTTTATTAATCATATGAGTGACCGCTTTCTACCTTTCATCAGCATGGTTGATGCTAACCTCCATGAGAGTGACTTATTGCACCTTGGCTGAGAAACCATTATAGCAAATGAGGAAAGGGTGTTTGGAGAATCTGGTACTCACCGGACATACTGTAGGCAAGAGGAACAGCAGGAAATAGCAAGCAACCTAGCTAACAAGCTTGTATAAATGGATAGCAGAACAGGGAGTGCGAGGAAGAGTCGCAAGACAAACTTCACTAAGTGCTTCAAGGGATAGGAAGTTGTGGAGAGCCATGATCGGAAAAGAAGGGACACAGTACATAAATGAAGAACTACAAGTTCAGCACATTTAATATGGGAAATAAGCAGATACAATGGCAACATTTACAGCCTGTATAATATATCAACAATTTTGAAAGGATTTAGTGTTTCTTCTCAAATTGTGAAATGAAAGTTATCCTGAATGGCCACTATTCTAGATCCTTTTGTACTAACGCTGTTGTCCACCAATTCCCCCACCCCCATAATCTATCTTACACGTCGATAGGTCTACCATATGTCCATGATTAGAACATTGCTGCCACATATGGCCCGGTGATCCTACGTTATATCTAGAGAGAGTTGATAAGATCCAAAGAAGAATCAGCCATATCATTGGTCCTGACCTGGCATCTCGGCTTCAGCCACTTTCCCACCGCCGTAAAGTTGTTTCTCTGCACCTTTTCTATAAATACTTTTCATGGTAATTATTCGAATGAGCTCTTCGTTATGGTACCTAGAATTTCTGAGTTTAAGCGCAGTACTCGACTAGCGAGGCGGTCAGATCAATTTACAGTTGATTTGGCTAGATGTAACCGTAAGTTCTATGATAACAGTTCCTTCTGTCGCACTTCTCGATTGTGGAACAACATTTCGGCTCAATCCTTTCCAGCTTTAATCTTCAAAAATTTAAATGCAATGTCAATCACTATCTACTGTCCTCCTGATTACTCTTCTTTTCTTCTCACTCCTTACTAATGTTTCTTTTTTTCTAATTCTTCCACGGCAAAAATATCTTCTTATAACGGTAAATTTGTTCAATTGTTAGATTAAGCTTTGAAACTTTGTATCTTAGAAATGATTAAAGATATCTTACTGGAATTCTCCAAGGTTTTTATAACACTGTTGGACTCTACTTTGAACAATAAGAATTTATTTGGCTCTCTAAGTTGAAATGATGATCCCTCTTGCTGTTGTGACTTCCTGATTCAGTTTTCCTCTCTACTGTTCCCTCTTTTTTCAAACTTATTCACCATTCTCTTGATGGTTCTTGAATAGACTTTGAAGATGGAAGCCACAGTATGAATTTTGGTAACATTATTGAAGGTCTGAATGATCTTTTTCCTATCACCATTGCTCAGTCAGGAAGACATAGTGAGGATGAAACAAAAATGCTTTTAATCTTTTCTCTTTGTTCGCTGAATAAAGGATTTTTCAGTAATTCTTACGACAAATGGCTAAACGTCTTATCTGAAAAAATTGGAAAAAAGAAACTCAATTAGTATAGTGTTTTTTTTTTTTAGATATTAAGCATTTTGTAGGATGAGCAATTATCGCATGCTGTAATACGATTTGGACAATTTTGATGTTACACCCGGTGTGTATATATATATATATATATATATATATATATATGTGTGTGTGTGTGTGTGTGTGTGTGTGTGTGTGTGTCCTCAAGAGACGACAGACAAGGTACTACCATTAAGCTTTTTATTTAATTTTTCTTGTGTTCGAACAAATATTTTCTTTTGCTGGACACAGAGTGTGTAGAAACTGTCAAAATCTTCTATAATTCCGAATTTTTGCTTTTTAATTGGGTGTGTGGGTTGAAAAAACCAACACTTAATAATATTAACTATGAACACGGCCACAATGTGCTAACTGTGTTCAGAAAATAAAGCATCCCTATAACTCTAAAAACATACACACAAGCCATACACCCAATTAAATTGAAAAAATAAAATCATTCTTGATAATGGCTAAAAGTACACCCGAAAGCGCTCGTAATTAAAGAACATTTGGACAGTTTCTACACACTCTGTATCCTAAAAAGAAAATGCTTGTTCGAACACAAGAAAAATTAAATAAAAAGCTTAATCGTAGTACCTTATCTGTCGTCTTTAATGAAACATAAATAAATGAAAGATTGCTGCCTAAATACATAATATATATATATATAATATATATATATATATATATATATATATATATATATATATATATATATCCAAAGTTTAATTTAATTTCAAGCTAATAGATTAAATATAATAGTCACAATAAACAAAATACTATGCTATGTTTCCAAAAAGAATTTAGAGTTTTTCATCGTTAAAAATTACTTCTTTTAGCCATATTTAAAATACACTCAGCACATTGTAATTCTCTTGATTAAAAATCTTTAATAAATAAAATATACATCTCTGAAACTTTATTTGAGGAATATTAGCTGATTTAAAGTTTAATCAATCTGATTTAAAACAAATATTATTTTAGTTTAAAATATCGCAAAAAAAAAAATTAATAAAGATGTAAGTGGTTGTTTTTATGAGGTGTTGAAAGCCCTTTTGACAGCCTGAGGTTTGAGAAATAAAACTAATTTTCGGTAGTGGGGGGCATATTCGTAAAAATTACTTGAATATAACGTGAGCGCCTTTTTATATGTATATTTTTTAAACTATTTCATAATTTTAAAAACTTACAAAAAATATTCTAAATAAATTAATGTTTATTGACTTTTAGGTACTTCAGCTCTAAATTCACCATAGTTGCCGCTCTTATTTTCTTATTATGCGTTATATGGACATCCGTATTTACGAAAATCGGCACGTTTATACACACATAAAAAAAAAATTCAAAATTCTTTTTAAAACATTGAGGGTCGGTGAATTGTAGTAATCTTTCCCATTTATGATTAGTAAATATATTTTTTTACTTAATAATATCACCTAACCGGAACAAATTTATATAGAATTTTAAAAAAAATTAAAATTTATGAATTATTGTAATTACAATTTTTTTTAAAATTAAAACAATTCTTTATTAAATTTATTGAACGAATTTTTTTTTCTTTAGCCAACAGCATCCGTAATATATCTTATTTATAAAAAAAAAATATTAAATGCCTTTCTAATTAAATATATTATTAATATATTTCTAATTAATATTATTTTACGGTTCAGAGTAGATTTTCGACAACTGGGGTTCTTGTTTTTCAAATCTAAATTGATGTTTTAAATTCTCCAAGGCGTTCTGTGAATAACAAATATTAACATTAAACTGTACAAAAATGAATTTCTCAAAATTTCGTAAAATTAAATAAGTGAGGGGTAACAGATGTAAAAAAAAATGACAAAAAAGAAAAAGGGACTTTTCTTCATTTGTGAATAAGTCCTGAAAGTTTCATTCAAATCCGAAATTACTTGATTTTTGCAAGAATTTCCCAATGTGATTTTCATCGCAAAAGACGTTCAAATTTCTTATAGTAGTTTATTGTTATCTACTGACGCAAGAAAGAATTTTAACCAAAATTTGGAAGGTTCTAAAAGGGATTAAAAAATTTAATAAAATTATCAAAAAATTCTTTGACCTTTTCTGTTAATAATATCAAAAAAGTTTTGTTTAGTTTGGGGCAATTTTTCAACATGTATGATAATTTTATAGGGAATCTTTGAAGATAACACTCTCTCTCTCTCTTTATATATATATATATATATATATGTATATATACACACATATATATATATATATACATACATATATATACACACACATATATACGCATCAATACATATATATTATTAATTTTTCCCATGCTTTATCTTATTATTGATATTATTATATTTTATTATTATTATATTTTATGATTATTATTATTATTATTATTATTATTATTATTATTATTATTCCGAAAAACCTCTATTTTTTATTAACGCTTTTATTTGTCTCTTTCGGCAATATTATATAAAAATAAAATTCTGAAAATATGAATTTTCAATATGGCGGCGCCAGAACGCATATTTTTACGCCATTGTTAAATTATAAAAATACAGAATTTGACTTGCACCAATTATTATGCTTTAGTGTCTGCACTGGTGCCTATTTGTTTGCAAGTGCCGGCGTGCACAAACAAACACCAGGCTAGGCATTAAGTAATTTCCAATAAATTGTCGTGTCGGAGGTTGGGATAAAAGTTTTCGAGACAGCGGCAGTGAGGCTTTGTCATAAAAATTCATAAAACCGAAAAGATATCCTCACAAAACGGACACAAAGGGCAAAAGTGGACAATGAAAAAGAGAAAGAGAGAAAGAGAGAGGAGAATAGGAGGGAGGCTGATTGTAGTTTGGGTAAAGGTCGGGTGGAAAGAGATGTTTTAAGAGAGTAGGGCTGGCAATGATGATAAGGAAGAGACGAAAGAATTAAAGGAAAAGAAAAAAGGAGTAACAAAGGGATTTTTTAACGTGAGAAACTAAGAGATAAAATGTTAAGAGAGATATACTGTGAAGCGATAGAGTCAAAGGCAAAGAAGAAGAAGAAGAAGAAGAAGAAGAAGAAGAAGAAGAAATTCGAAAATTTTACCTAGCTAACTAGAATGCTTTCAAACTGTCCGAAAAAGAACCAGTTTCCGAAAGCGTTTAAAACACATTACAATTTCAACATTTTAAGAATGCTGCGGTAATAACTGCTTCTGTGTCCACCATATTGAAACTTTTTCAATTGACGATCTTCTATTACTTAGGTGAATTTAATACTAGCAGAAATAATATATTACTTAAATCCTGTTACATTGATGCTAATACTAGATTATTATTAAATAAAAATATTGATAACATATTACTGAAAGAACAAAATTGCAAGAGACAGAAGAGAAAGGGATTAAAAAAATGAAAAAAAAAAACGAAGAAAAAGATAACAATAAGAAAAAGCGAGCGGGAGGGCGAAGAAAAAGGACAAAAGTTAATAATAATAATAATAATAATAATAATAATAGTAGTAGTAAAAAGAAGAAAAAAGAAAAAAAAGAAGATACAAAAGAAATAGGTGACGAAGAAGCAATCGAAGAAAAGGACAAAATACTATAATAATAATAATAATAATAATAATAATAATAATAATAATAACAACAGCAACATTAGTAGTAATAAAAAGAAGTATTAAACCGATAAAAAGGGCATAAAGAAGAAAAAGAAAAGAGACTAAATAGTAAGGAGAAGACGATGAAGATGACGACAACGATGATGATGATGATGATGAAAACGAAAAATTCAAAGAAGCAAAGAGAAGATGAATAAAAAGAAAAGGCAAAGGAAAGAAAAGGAAACTGCTAATAATAAAACAACCAATAAGAGACGATAGATAAAAAAGATGGAGAAAATCCAAGAAGACGAAGAGAGAAAGAAAAAACGAATAAGAAAGTGAAAATGAATAAAGGAAGAGGAGGAAGAAGAAAATGAATAAAAAAGGAAAAAGAAGAATGAAGAGAAAATCTATAACAATAATAATAATAATAATAATAATGTGAAAAAAATTAAAAAAATGAAGAACTATTCAAAAGAAAACGAACAAGAAAAACATAAGAAGAGGAAGAAACGATGACAAAATAGGAAAAAGCAACTAAATAAATAGAAAAACGAAGTAATAATAATATTAATTATAACAAGAAGAAGAAGAAAAAAGAGAAATAAAAGAAAAATATAAAGAAAGAAAAAGTGGGGAAAAGGAGGAAAAAGAAAGAATAAAAAGATGACGAAGAAGAAAGAACAAGAAAAAAGGAAAAGACAAATGAAAAGAAGAAAGGAGAAATAAAAAGAAAGACGGAAAGAAAAAAGAAAAAGGTTTAGAAAAAGAAGAAAAAACGAAAGAAAAAACAAGTAGAAAAAGAAAAGAATGTTCAAGAAAGAGAAAAACGAAAGGTTTGTATTAAAAGAGTTTTTTTTTTTCTTCTGACAAATCTCAAAAATTTATATTAGTTGAAAGGCGCCATTTGTTCTGGATTGACACGGGGTGAGTGGGGCTCTGATATGATGATCGTGGTCAATGTGGCTGCCTTGACACCGTGTCTGTGGTGGCGGTAATGTCGATGGCAGAGGTCGTCGTCGTCATCGTCATTCTGCTTTGGGAAGCTGTGGCCGTAAGGAGAGATGACGGTCGCGTTAATGGCTCGAGTGGCTGGCCTATCTGACCTGATTTGGGCTTCCATGTTGGAAGCATCGGGCAAATTTAATTGGCTGCTGAAAAGGGTAACATTTCCGACTGACTCACCACAAGAATCGAAGCACATTCATTGTGGACACGCCGATAAAGACAGAGGCGCGACGATACAAATAAAAGACACTCGGCTTGGATGCATATATATATATATATATATATATATATATATATATATATATATATATAAAGATTCGCTGAAAAAATGAGTATACCATGATGAAAAAAGGCTCCAAACTTAATAAGTTTTATTGGCAAAATTTTTATGTTATTATTTAAGAGTAAAGACCGAAGTTTTTTTGATTGTTAAATTATATTTTTTTTATCCTTTTTAGTCTGTTTCAAATTTTGGTTAAAAATTTTGTTTTTCTTACGTCAGTGGAGGGCCAAAGATTAATATAAGTAATTTTAGCTTTTTTTTTTTTTTTTTTTTTTTTGCAGTGAAAACATACAAAAAAAAATCAGTTAATTGTCGCATTTTAAAGAAAATTTTCAGGACGTAGTCACAAATTAATGAAAATATTTTAAAACTTTTTTTTTTAGAAAATCATTGTAAAAATATTTTTTACATCTGTTACCCCAACCCACACTTAATTTTATGAAAAAAAATATTTTCAAAAGAATTTTGATTGTCTGTGTGTATGTGTGTGTTTGTGTGTGTGTGTGTCTATGCATAAACATGACGATTTTTGTAAGTATAAATTGACCTTATCAGAAAATACGACTGGTAACCATAGTAAATATAAAATTTATTGATAATTTTCAAACATATCCTCAACATGCGTCTTCGTAAATAAGACGATAAGCAAAGTACCTAAAATTCAATAAAATATTAGATTCTGTTTACTTAGAATATTTTCCTAAATTTTTAAGTAGTTAGAAATATATAAAAGGCGTTCTAATTGTATTCAAGTAGTTTTACAGTCATGTGCCCGTTACTTAAAAATACCAAACATTAAGCTATCGATAAATCTGTCAATACCTCATAAAAAAAACCCACACTCTTATTAAAAAATATAGTTTTCTGTGATATTTTAAACCAAAAATAAGTAATATTTGGTTTAATTCAGATTAAGTTTAAGAAAAGTGTATTTTATTTTGAGCGCTCGCCTACGGAGGGCTTCACAAACAAGAAAATAACATTTGATATAATATTGTATATATATATATATATATATATATATACATACACGCACACACACATATACACACAGATGCATATATATATATATATATATATATATAAAGACAAAAATTCATATAATGAGAAAAGTTCGTTTTCTCCATCAAGACATTCATTTCTGTAGTTCATTGCTACCAGAAAGCAGAATTTTTTTTTCCTGATGATGGCCATGTTGGCCGAAACTAATCGAGGAATCTAAATGAAATAATAATAAAAACGAAAGAATATTAATGTACAGCCCAGTGTGTCTGAAGATTTTAATTTTCAATATTTTTTATTTTTCCAAAAATACACACACACACACACACACACACACACACACACACACACACATATATATATATATATATATATATATATATATATATATATATTTAAATAAATTCTTAGAGGTACAAAAACGTAATATTGCAAGGAAAAGATATAATTTGTTTCTTATAGGCATTGGGAAATATGAAAATAAAAAATAAAAAAATAAATGAAAACATGAAGACAGACCAACCGGTTTCGTTCCCACGCTCATCAGGGTCGACTGGGAAAAGATTAATAATTTATTGCAAAGATACATTTACTCCCATAAACACCCTACATACAATTAAAACATTAAAAATTGAAATGATTAATGGGATGAAGGAAGACCAAAATCAAAACAACATGAATTTGCGAAGCAAAAAAAAAAAAAGAAGTGTTTTCATTTCTTATGTTTTATTTTCATATTTCACAATGCCTATAAGAAACAAATTATATCTTTTCCTTGCCGAAACGTTGTGACAAATATGACGACAAAGATGAGGGCAATAGTCCGACTAATGTAAATACTATATATATATATATATATATATATATAAACAAAAACCGATGATGGAACAAACGGACAGCTTGCCAAAACCTAAACTCTTATTCAGATACAGTCTCGAATAAAACCGACAATACTAAAAAAAAAAAAAAAAAGGAAAAAACGGCCTGTAGACAAACTCAACAAAGTGCTCGAAGCCTAGATTGCCTAGATTGAGCAAAAAAACGATTACCAACTTTAAATCCTATGAAAGGTCGGGTCTGTTTGTGACTCGAGTTTAGCGCTGACGCGATCTTTCTAAGCGGATTGTCAGGGAAGGCATCCCTGGCGATCCGCTTAGGCTAAACCTTGGTAAGTTTGTCCGGCTCTCTGTGCTTAACTATATATATATATATATATATATATATATATCCCTAAAGTATGTGTGTTTTCGCGTGATGTTAGACGAGTTTTAACCAAGAACTGTCTTAATTTTTTCATTTCTTCATTTCCTCTTTAATACTTGAGAACGAACACAAAATCATCAAAGAGACACACATATTTAAACATAAAATCCAGAAATTATTAAAAAAAAAGGAAGACAGATCCTGATTAAAACTTATAGAACATCACCAGAATATATATATATATATATATATATATATATATAGGAATGGGTTTTTCATTTAACGTAAACGCAACGAAGTCAATTTTTTAGAAAATGGATTTTTTATATATTAATCCGACATATTTTGATTTATTGTTGAAACTATATTTTTAATATTCAGTCTGTATTTATATATTAAACACTATATTCATTTATTTCCATCTACCGACCTGAATATCCGACAAATCTTATTAGACAACTGGGAGGATTCGAACCTACATTCCCTAGGGTTACCGTCATCTGACGTGTTTTGCTCTCTCGGTCATGAAGAATTACCTAAACGGCGAACGCTGAACAGTGCTTTTGAACACATATTTCTTCCCGATTCTCGAAATATGCATATTTTTCTTACAAGATTACTCGAATATTCAGACCGGTAGATGGTAATAAATAAATAAAAAACAGAGCGTCTACTTAAATATGAGTATCCATTAAAAATAACGTTTAAGCAATAAATTAAAATTTGTGTGTGTATGTGCGTGCTGTTACAAGGACCTCTTTTGTATGTGTTGTGGTAGGATCCACCTAATTTGCATAGTGGATTACCGACCATATAAATATGGTTGGTACCGGGAAGAGAGGGGAGGAATCAAGAGATTCAATCCAGAGACTCTGCCCGACTGCGACTCAGTCAACACATTCTCCAGGAACGGTCTTACCAGGAATATACAAAAGACTATATGTAAATATTGTGTACACTTTCTTGTTTCAATACATTTTGTTCTAAGTACATTTTGTGTTGCATTATTATTCCATGCATTAGTCAAGTTTCAACAGTATGTCACATATAAGCCATGCTAACCTTCTGTAGATCTAAAGAGCCAATTTCAACGATGCACAATTAATGTGACGGCAATCGACTAGAAATATGCCGTCATGTATGTATGCATGTGTGTCTGTGTTACTTTTCATTATTTTGTTTATTTGAGTGGATATCCCCGTTTTTCTAAATAGTAAAACCAGCGTCCGCCAAAGACAATAGAATCCATAATATATCTTATTCATAAAAGTAATTAAAAGCTTTTCTAATTAAATAATGTCTTAGTTTACTCCATTTTTTATTGTACGATTCAAAGCAGACTTTCCGTAACTGGGGGTCAAGTTTAAAAAAAATAAAATGTCAATTATTTATTTTATATGCAAGAATTTCCAAATCAATATTTTTCACCGAAAAAAAAAGTCGCTATACTAATGTTTGTCCACCCACCTCGCTTACACAAGATTTTTAACCAAAATTTCGAATAATCAAATCAAAGGATAAAATAATTTTTAAACAAAAAATCCTTCGTGCTTTCCTCTTATAAAGAGTTTGACAATAAAACTCTGTTTTTATTAATTTGGGGGTCATTTTTTCATCATGGTATGCTCATTTTTAGCGAATCCGTAGGAGTAACTATCATTTGCGTTATTTACAAGATCTGGTAAAAATTCAGAAGCCAAAAAAATGACTTACCCATGAAGTTAGGGAAACTCATCCCAGTCAGTTTGCTTTTATACTGTCGTAGGACACAGAAAGAAATTGTTGTCGTCTTGAATTCGGGGATAAATTTATTTTTCTAACACAAATGCATTAGAAAAACAGATTTATCCGGGAAATCCAAAAACGATGATTTCTCCGAGCCACGACGAAGTCCACCGGTGATTTTACTATTGGCAACGGCTGTCGTCAAGTTGAAATTCGATCCAAGAAATGAAGACATGACTAAAACTGGAAGTGCTTCCTGAAAGTGACAGGTGACGCCATATGTGGAAGAACTTCCTATCCAACTCTATCATCGTTTATTGGGTCACCTTTTCAACAGAAAGGTAGAACCTTTTCATTCAGCAAAATAACGGATCAACATCCTTGGCCAGCAAAATGCGTTTTCTCTTCGAATCTCTCAAACGTGTTCACTGACTCACCCTTATGCTCTTTAAGCTTGATATGACAACGAGAACACTCATATTAGAGAAGGAAAAAAATTCTTCAACGCTGGAGCGATTATACTGGAAAACTCTTCCCCGACAAAAAGGAACTACCGTCGGACGTATAATTCTGAAAACCGAAGTAAAAACCGTACTGGCCAAATTGAACAGAAACAAAGCACCTGGGCCAGACGGAATTGTAACAGAAATACTGACGGCTTTAGATGAGTTTGGCATAGACAAGATCACCTAAATAACAAATGAAATCTACAACAGCGGGGATATAACGGAAGACCTCAGCAGATCTATCTTTATAGCTATTCCTAAGAAACCAGGCGCAAACGAAAGCGAACTCCACAGAAAAATAAGCCTGATGAGCCACATGACAAAACTCATCATCTATTGAATAGAGCGCGCAGCAGGATCAGGCCAGAGATAGGACAAGAACAGTGCGGGTTCATTAGAGACTCCTGGACTAGGAACGCGATATTCATGCTCAGAATGTATATCATAAAGAGAGATCCAGATGCAGAAGGACATGTA